AACATACAATGATTGTGCTATATTTAAAGTAAAATATTTCATAAAAAATATTATGTATTAGTCTTAATATTACGAACAATATTATTAATTCTTTTTTTTTTTTTTTTTTTTTTTTTTTTTATTTTTTTTATTATATAGAGTAAGAAGTGAAAAATATATGCACATTATTCCATTCAAGAAATAATAAAAATTTATTGGTCATTAACAAATTTGTTTTTAGATAATTGGAATGGCGATAGGAATTAATCCAGCTATAATATCAAATCTCAGTCCATCTTACTTACTATACGGATTAAACGTTCAATTATATGGTTGTGGTATCACTAATCACGGTTTATATGCAACGACTGTTCAAACAGCAAGCGTCACAGTACTAAATAACAATCACTGTGCACAAATATTGTTAAATCTTACAGGAAATAATGAGTTTATTCCAGATCATATAATATGCACAAGAACAACTCCATATGTGCAAACAGAACGTGTATGTACCGATGCTTTTTATATAAATTGCACCGTTCATTAGGAAAATAAAGGAAAACCATTTGGAGAAAAAACATATTTATCTATTGAATATTTTAAATCGAAAGTTTAAATTTTCTTAAAATAACAAATTTCATGAGTTTTCATAAATATATTATAGATTATACTTAATTGGAAATAGATGATTATATCAATCAATACAAAATATTATTTTAAAAATTGAAAATCAATATCATGAACTTTTTAAATGTATTTGATCACATTAATAATTGAGAATCGTACTTGAAAGATTTTATAAATACTAATATATAATATATTGATATAGTAAAATGTTATAACTTTGACATTCAAATGGCTAATAGAAATATTATTCTTTATATCAATTTATTGCTAATATCATAACATCAATAATATTATTATATGAAACCGTTTATATATGGCTCGCACACATATTTATATAATATTTTTGTAGAATTTATATTTGAGGTAAATATTATTTCCTTTGCTCGATGAAATTATATATTATTATTAGGATCATACGTATGATAATTTAACTAATTAAATCTGCATTTTGCCAAAGGCTGAATATAAAGTGAAGTCTCTTATTTCTTTCGGTATCTTTGAATATTAGATGATTGAATTAGACGACCTCAAACCTTAAAATTAGAGATCTCAAAACCTTTTTACCATTAAAAAGTGTCATTTCAGTTTTTTTCTTTTTAGATTTGTTAGTTCGTAATTAATAAGCGAGATGATATACTGAATAATTTTGAAAATTTGTAAACTACGTTATATTTATACTCTATAAAAAAATTACAATGAAATTTATTTATTGAATTTACTTTGGATCATCGATAAATATACGTAATTTATTGTAGTTAATTGTAATTATGCTTTTTTTTTTTTTTTTTTTTTTTTTTTTTTTTTTAATATATTCAATATCAATAATTTCAAGGTTACAATATTTGCTCGTTAAGATCCACACAAAAAGTCATTTAGTAATTTAACATAAAAGTCAATAGCCTTAATATGAATATATCATAGGATTATATGTAATGATTATGTATAAAATGATTTTCTTTATATTTTAGGGCGACAGTGGTGGTCCAGTTACATATTTTGGTTCTCTTATAGGCATTAATAATGGAGTTGCTCCAATATTAAATTTTGAATTTAATCAGAATAAAGTAAACTTGCATATAGTAATTCATAGTTATAGACATTTTTTAAACAACATAATTAATGATTTGAGTTAAGAAATATACATATATAATTAATATATATATATATATATATATATATATATATATATATTATGTAGTTATATTGCAGAAATCTGGATTAAATAAATAAATATCGATTCGGTTATATTACGAGATAAACTTATTAATGATACTATTAATTTGAAATTATTTATGATGTTTATCGTAATGACTAATATTATAATTAATAAATATTATAACCTCTGAAAAATAATATTCTATAGTTCCTTATAGTTTGTATAGGTAAATGTTTCCTTACATAGTTGTTACATATTAATAGAATACGTGCAATTGACAAAGTAAATTGAAAAGTTTAGATAGGCATAATAACAATTATAAATATTATGTTTTTAAAACATTATAATCATTGGAGTTATTGACTTTACGAGAACTGAATCCAAATTATGTATACATTTTGAAAATACATTGTAATAAAAGTGAACATGATCTAATTTATTTGCTTTTATCAAACTATGTTTAATAAAATTATCGGATTTTTATAAATTACAAACATCTATTCTAATTGTACGAAATTAGGCAATTAAATGCAATTACAATGTGGTTAAAGATGATGACATGTAAATTTTATGAGAAACGATTTTCTTAAATACAGCTTTTAAAATGTTATGCGTTTAGATTGGTGAATCAACAATTGTTTTATTATTATTACGAAATGTATGTAATAGCAATTAATTTTTTACACTTGATTCTACCATAATAAACTTAAAAATAAAGGGTTCTTTGATGTGGCATTAGATTTGTAGGAAGACGAAGTAGATTCCATCTGTTCAGGGTTCGAAAACACTGTAGTATTTTTTTAAGTACATCTATTCTTGTATGGATATTTCGTAAATTTTTTTTCGCTAAACTATAAGAATGAATCATTGTAATTACATGTATTTGCTAATTTTATTTGATAGAATAACTTATTAATTAATAATAATAGATCATATTTGAGGCATTTTTTGTGTAATTTCTGCGATTCTATGAGTGTAGTAAGCATTTGCTACTTCTTTCGCAATATATCAATAAAGAAAAACTTCTATTATATATATACATACCGTCATACACATAAATAAAATATTTAAAGAAGTTGGAAAAAGGTACTTTACACACTAAATTCATGCAGAATTAGATAAAAATGAAGAAGATGCTCAAACGCACGTAAAAAGTCTCTAAAATCCTCACAAGAGTACTTCGCTTACGTTGTATAGGAACGGTACAACATTTATAGCAATGGAAATATTAACTTAGAAAAAACTTTACCAACTTCTTCGAATATTAGAAAATTACCAAAAAATATTCTTCGTTATTTTAAAAGTAGAGGAAAAATTTAATAAAACACTTTTATAACAATATAGTGTCGCTTGAATGAACATATTATTGAGTAAAATGAGGGGAAAAAATGTTTCTATTATAAGAAAGTTTTACATCGAATTGCAATATGAACAAGTAAATTTATAAGCAACTACTGAGTACATTTGAATTCAATAAAAGAATATATCACCTTACTGTTAAAAACTGAATAACAAAATTATGATGGGCCTGATCATCTATAAAACTTAGACGAACTCATATCACAATGATATAAGATACATATGAATTATAATATACACAATCTTGTATATACTTTTTCTTGTAATTCTTAATAATAACAATGAATAATTATTTGAATCTGTATTTAGCAATTCACTTTTTATTGAATAATTACATATATTTTATAAGTTAGCATTACCGCTTGAGTTGATCCAATGAAAATGATTTGCCTAACATTTTATGTAAAGATATTTCATAGTATTAAAATAAAACATTTATGCAAATAAATCGAACAGCTTCGTTAAATATTTCATTAAATTATTCCCCAATTCTATAAAGTTGATTTTATTACCTTGTCAATATTAACATATTTTATCTATAAGCTATACACTATGCAATTGCTTTGATATTAGTTCACATAATACACAATTATAAATTTCTCTTTTTGTAATTTATCAATTTTCATCGCTTAGAAGTAAAATTTAAACTACTTTATATCTACAAAGATTTATATGAATTTATAAATTCATGGACTTATTTCAATTACATATTCATAATATGATAATATATATTTATTGAAATATAGATAAAATATAAGTGTAAATACGAAATTTAAAAGAATTTTGTCTTTACATATCAATTATTTAAACATTTATTATATGATAATATATTCTATTTGAGCATAGAAAAATTATAAGAGTAAATATAAAAATGTTTTCTGAACTTTACTATTGTATATAAATTATTTCATAATAATATTTAGTATGCATTATGCATGGATACAAGATCATTTAATACATATTTCATTATTAATAATCATAATAAAACATATTTATCTTTAGAAAAAAAAATTCGTAGTTCGACTTTGCGTCATATCGCCGTGGATTTATCAAAGCCCATGGGAAATTGATATTATTTAAAATTATTCATATTATTTACATTTATCATATTATTTAAAGTATCTGTAAAGTATGTTTTTAGCGCATATAATCATTAATATATTATGAATAGAGTCTAAGTAATGAAAAAATCCGCCTTGAAAGTTACTTGGTCATTTGATATATTAACATAAACTACTTGCTTAAACTCAATTAAATGTAGGCAACAGATAGTTAGTAATTTAATAAGTTGTTTTTCAAAAAGATTTATTTGTCCATACAATTTAATACACATTTATATAAACGTTTGAAAAAAGTAAGTAAGGATCTGCCTAATTTTTTTCAGAATTTCATATGTGTATCAATTAATAAAAGGTCCGATTACTTATCAACGTAAAATTTTCTATTTTGTAGTTTATATATATATATATGTATATTCATATATATTGAAATTAAAATATTTATAAGGATATAAACAAATAAATAAATAAATAAATAAATATAAGAAATGCAAATTAATATAAAGTATTGAACATGCCAATTATAACAATAATTTGTTAATTATTAAATAGTTGATAAATTCTTAGCAATCAATAATGAATACTAGCGTTGTAAATTTAAACTAAATGTGATTTATTATATTTACTTTGATTTTATGTTGTAAGATAAATAAATTTGTACTTTTTATTTTCAGAATATCTGCACATTTTACAGAAGCTTAATATTATCACGAATCTCGATAATTTTAATAATATTACATTAATATACCTGCACTTTTGATTAAAAAGTACCACTTATGTACTCCAGTAATAAAAATATTATTAATTAATATAATATTTAATCAATCCGATCAATTTTCTTTGTAAAGTTGATTTTTTAATTCTTTCATATAATCGAAAGCATGTTTGCTTTACTTTCTATATATCTTATAATATTATGTAAGTATAAAACATTTAATAAAAATTATAAAATCCCTAAATCATAATCGGCAGCTGAAAAATTGTATATAGATACTTTTACCCTTCTCCATAATTGTTACTACATTGAATTTAATTCCTTCCTTTTTTATTTCAGGGAGTCAGCGTGACTTTTTATTCACCGAAGCACTTGTCGGTAATACCAATAATGTCAGATTTATATTAGAAAATGAATATCCCCCGGTAGCTTGTATAGCCGAGTATAATACCAATCCCACGTTGGGCATGACTTTCATATGTACAGGAGTATTTATTTCGTCAACTCATGTTTTAACGGTTGAGCATTGCTTATATAATATTCAGTCTAATAAAGTTCAAGTACTCGTTGGGCCTGGTGAATTATCACGAAGTGTAACATATTCTTCAATATGGTGGATAAGCTTTAATCAATGGGCATCATCTAATCATTTGCTTCCAGTAATAAGCAATAATGATATTTCCATTATAAAAGTAAAAGAATTTTTATAGAAAATAAAATAATATAAACGTATTATGCATTGGGTGGAATAATTTCAATAATATTATTGTGCCGCTAAGTTTTTTGTACAATTTATTAAGAGATTAAAAATATTTATTTTCAGAAACGAAAAGTTTCCTATTACTAATGAAAAACCAAGTTATTTTTAGATACTTGGATTACCAGTTGAATTTGCTCCCGCAGTTTTATCAACCATCACATCGAATAATGTACTTTACGGATTACATGCTCAAACATTTGGATGTGGTATTACGAATTCTCAATCATATCCAACGACAATACAATCGGCAAATGTGACAGTTCTGCGCAATTCCCAGTGTGAAGAAATAGTGACAAAACTTGAAAATATACACATGCCTATTCCATATAATATTATATGTACACATAGCCAACCCTACGTCCACCTCCATCATGTATGTATTCATATTTTTTTTAGACGACTTTCATTATTCAAGATAAATTTTCTAATATTTACATGCTTCGCCTTAATTATTTCTACTTAAAATATTTTAAACTTGATAATTCTTAGAATGAATTCTTAAATATTATAATTAATTATTAGAAACAATCTATACTTTTTAAATGCTTTAAGTACAATTACACAAGTTAAACAATATTTTCATATTTTTATTTCAAATGTATTCACTAGCTATATTGTACTACAATAGTTTAATAATTTTTTAACCGATTATTACGATTACAAAGAGTTCATTAAATATTTAAATGCAATAAAACATTCTTTTTTCTTTTTTTTTTTTTTACTTCAATCAATAGCAAAAAATACTTGAATCAAAATACAATAAAAGACAATAAATAATTTATTTAAGTTTTTTTCAACAGAAATGAAGATTTTTTTTAATTTTTAAATGATAAATAATCGACGAGTAATAACCTTATGTTCACTCGTACGAAAATATATATTTAATATTATATTGTTTTATTTTCTTTTATAATTATGAAATTTCAAAAATTTCATTTTGTAAAAATTCTATCAAATGTGATTTAAAAAAAAAATTATCACTCTATCCTAATTTATTATCTAATTGCCATAACTGCTTTAACTCTCTATTATAAAATTATTCTTAAAAAATTGTGTTAAATGTTGATTTATGAGATATCTACATTTGTAAAGCACAACATACTAATTTTTTTAAACAGATTTTTACGTGTTTTAAAATCTAATTAATTTTAATCTTTTTTCATTCTTCTTCTTGGTTTATTTAGATGGTTCTATTTATTAATTAACATTGAAAAATAATTATGTAGTATATTTAACATGATAAAATTTCACAGATATTTATAATTTTCTTCTAAAAATTGTGTATTTAATTTTTAGAAATTATAATTCAATATACACCTATTAGTATATTATTAAACATAATATTGTTGTACAAAAATTCACGATGCTTTCTATTTCAGGGAGATAGCGGTGGTCCACTTTTATCTTCTGGTACACTTATAGCTATTAATCTAGGAATAATACCAACAATGGGATTTCAATTTCACGAGGAAAAAGTAAACATACATCTCGTAATTCTGCCATACAAGAACTTTTTACACAGCGTAATTAATAATCCGTACTAAATATAATATCCATATTGTTAAGATAATAATATTATTGATATATATATATATATATATATATTATCATTTAATTATAAGCACTGAGATTAAATAAAAAAAAAATTAGAATAAATATATGTTAAACTATTTTGAATTATGTTATTTTACTTAAAAAATAAATGTAATCATTTATACTTTTAACGAGTCTGAGGATAATTTATTATTTCACCATTTTACATAAGATTAGTGCAGTTTCGGTAGATTATCTTTTGTACATATGTCGCCCCCATAATTACAAATTTCATTGCAAAGCGGATTTTTCTTCAAGAAACTTCTTTACGAACTTCTGTATTTTTACGTGGTGGCTTTGGTACGTATGTTTTTATATGATCCTGTTTATATTATAGTATTGTTTACTCAAGTAACAGAGTCAAAAGCATAGTATTTACTTTAAAACGGCATAATCCCTTAAAATTACAAATTTGTAGTATATTAATCACTATAGTATGCGATTATTCGCTACTATACTGTGGTGTTATTGCACTTGTATATGTCAATGCATATGTCATGACAATAATACCACATGTTAACTTACATGTACACTCTCCCATAAATTTTCTGTGGTCATCCGGTTTGTAATTTCCGTCACTTTGTCTCTCTCTCTCTCTCTCTCTCTCTCTCTCTCTCTCTCTCTCTCTCTCTCTCTTTTAAATAAAACTCCCTTGTTCCTATTATGTACCTTTATTTTTTTATTTTCCTTCTGGCAAGGTCTTTGTCTATTGGCTTTTCTTTTATGTAATGGTTTTCTATAGGTCTTCATAGAAGATGAATTTAAAGAGTAAAAGTAAATTTATTATTAAAAAGTTTATTATGTATATTAATTATTTATTACGTAATTCTACATTGAGAAAGAAAACGTTTGTCTAAAATATTCATCAATAAGGAATATTTAAAACATATATATATTTTATCGATTACTTGTTATAAAAAAACTGTTAATCCTTTCCCTCCCCATTTTTTCAGAGATTCAGATATTAGTAGTTAGTATTATTATAATTATACTTATATCGACAACCACCTTACTACTTTGATGAATATTTATGTCACTAAGTCTAACTGAATTTTCCTCATTGAAGTCGATAATATTTTCTCGATATACCACAGTCGTATCGAGAGTTTAAAATTTTACGTATCAGCAATTGTTTGTATAATAAAATTTGACTCAATGTTAGTGATAATCATTTTATTACAGAGATAGAGTGATATTGTCAACTTTCATTGAAATTCCTATGCTTTTTATTTGCATTTGTTAACCATTAGAATATCCTCCCTATATATAGTTTATCACTTATTATATGCTATTGTCAGACTTTTTCTCCTTTTATGATTTTCATGACTTTATATATTATAAAAATTATTAAATTTATATATATATATATATATATATATATATATATATATATATATATATATAGAAAGTAAAGTAAAAAGAAGATATGTTCTAGTTATAAGTAGAAAATTGCTAAGTATAACTGTAATAACTAAAACTTTTAGATACTTTTTTCAAAATTTAATAATTTACGGAATTTACAATTTTAAATTATTTAGTTAAAAAAATTACTTAGCCTATTCACTTAATACAAATTTTATTTCGTATGTTATAAATATGATTTTGAATTTTCTAATTGATATCTATAAATCTGGAGTTTCTCGTTTTATACTTTTATAAATCAGACTAAATATAATATGATATTCATCCAAGTTAATATATCATGAATCTTCTTGTGACTCAAAGAAAAATATATGCAATATTGACATTTATTAGCTACTTGAGTACTTGGTTTCTCCATTACATATATCCTTATGTAAAGGAAGGAGTACTTTTACGTTATATATTGATGCTTATTGTCTGTATTAATTAATAATTGAATAAATAACATATCACTATTTTTTTACTTGTCATCTTTTTTTTTATGGTATATAATATTTTTAAATTAAACAAAAATAGTATTTATTTAGAATTTCGGCAAATTAATATCCACATTAGTTGTATTCCTTAATTATTAAAATATAATTAATTTCGTTGTATATTATATAATTGATCTCGTGTTAAATTTATTTAAGAATTAAAGCTTGATAAATTTAATCTGATATTTAAAAATAATATTTTAACTTTTAAAAATTACTAAAAATTAAATTGAATGATTAAAATATATAATGAAATAAATCTTTTTTATTTTGTCGTTGATAATGAAATATATTTTTCCTCTTGTCATTCATACAACTGAATAAACTTACAATTTGTGAATAAACAGACATTAGATATAAAAAATTTAAATGAATAATATTATAAGGATTAAACATGTATCTATAATAATTACAGTAATATTTTTAATATTTTTTAATAGTATTTATATTTTTCTTTAAAATGTATAATAATAATATACATAAAATATTACGATTAATTTAAAAATAAATAAAATTAGTTGATTAATGTAACGCAAATATCGAATATTTTATTTTAATATTAAAATATGTAATTTAATGGTATTGTACATATTTTAGGATAATATTGCTCAATTGGTATTATATTATGTTCTTCTCAACACATGAGTGTCTCTATTTATTAGAAATCAATTTAATTTTATCTTTATAATATAATTATATTCTATTCATAATATATTATATTGTTTAATTATGTTATAATTTAATTGTGAAATAAGTTTGTATATTGATACTGAAATCTATAAACATTTTATTGATTATATGATTAATAAGTCAATAATAATTAATCATCAGAATATATTTCATTAAAAATAGATAATGTTGAATTTTTAAATATAAAACTCTTTTGTAGAAAATAAACTTTAATTATATACAGAATTTTATACAATTTTATTGATATATGGAATAATAAATATTTTTTCAAATTTTCAATTCTTATTATGTTTTTTCATTAATTTTCTTTATATTTCATTCTTAATAAATCTATAAATTCTCTCTATATAATTCTTTTTATAATTATTGAAGATATTTATTTATAATTTAATACATAAACCACAAAATATCATTTTTTTATAATTTCATATTGTTTGTAGATCAATGTAATCGTATATCGTTATTTTTATACATAGCAATTTAGACAAAGAAACAAAACAAAATAATAAATTAACTTTCTTTTTTTCCACAAATTAAAATTCTTCATATTATAAATAATATGAATTTTAATTATAGATATATTTATTAATGTAATAAAATTATGGAAAATAAAAAATTAATGCAATAATGTAAAATAAATATCTTCTCTGTAGCTGAAATTTCTTATATAATTTTCTGTAGCTAAACTTATTTATAAAAAATAAATATCATATTTCTAATAGATGGATGAGGAAAAAGCATCTTTATATTTATAATAATGGTAACTTATTTAAAAAATATCTTAATTAGTTTTGAATTTTGTTTATTCAAATTTAATAAAATCAGGTGTATAAGTTTTCGCGTATATAAATATAACATTTTAATAACGTTAAATAACGTAATTAAATAATTTTAGATCTATATTACTTACACATATGTAAAGTAGCACAATTCTTTCTTTTATATAAAAATATGGAAGTGGTTTGTTATATTAGTTTATATGTAAAATGATTCTTAATAAATATATAAACAAAGCCAACAAAACCAAACAATAAATATATCAAACTTCAATAAAGCCTGCGAATAATTAATTTAAATAATTTAAAGACCAATAATCATACTTGTTTAATTAATTATTTTAAAATACTTTGAAGACATTGTAGTATTTATATATAAAAATTTTTATTTTAATTAGGAATACTGATAATAAAATTAATAGGGCGTTTACTTTGTTAAAAAAATTAAAAACGTGTTAAATTTTATCATATTCGAACGTTTATATACTAAAAACTAATAACTGTTTAAACTACTGCAAAATTACTTTCCGACAAAATTGTACAAATAAATGACTTGTTATGAGATATAATCTTACAAACATTCATAATATATGTTCACATACAGCATTTTATACGAATATATTGTATTTTAAGAAAATGGGGGGGGGGTGGAAGAAAATAGGCTATAATTTTGTATGAATGTAAGCGATCCATTACATATGTGATTGAAGAAAATAAAAAATATCTCTAAATCTATCATTCAACGAAAATATGTTATATATTCGTTGCATTTAAAGATCCATTTATAATATTTCTTTGTATTAAAATTTACAGATCTTTAAATTAAAATTGTAATAACAAGGAGATAAATTAAACATTTGGTCCTAGTATTTGGATAAATATATAAATAGCAAATATTATGCAAACTATTGAATTCTTACTTCATTTAATCACTCGATTTTATATTTGAGGATCAAATATAAAAATCACTAACAATTCACTTTTTATTAATGTGACTGAAGATTTTTCTATTATAGCGATTCTTTTTTTTTGCAAACTGTACTTAATTTTTATTATTTGACATAATAAAAGTAAATTAAAAGATAATGTCTTTAGTGTTTAAAAATTAGCATATATGAAAACATAATCCTCTATTAACTTGGCAAGTAATCTAATATTATTGAATATAAGATTATAATTTTATTCTTCGTAAAAAAAAAATGCAACTCGTATTGGAAATATAGTTTTTTTCATTTATATATAACTAATAGTAATAATGATATGTCATATCATAAGTATCATATTTATAATTCCTTCTTGTTATATATAGCAGCAAGTGATATTTGATGAAAAGATTCCTTTGCGGTAAAAAAAAATCAATTCGATATCATATTTTCCATTAAAAATTTAAGATTTTTTTAATTCACAAATACTTTAGTCTCTCCAGATGATAAATAAACAAAGAAAACAACAAATTAGAACAATTCATAAAATTTTGCATAAAGAAAATTACTTCGCTTCTCTATGAGAACTGCTGATACATTCAATTCAAGGCATTCAATGTTTTTTAGTTTATAAAAACTACTAAATTGAAATATTTATGCTATTGGATAAAACGATTAAATTATCTTAAATATTAAATAATTTCATATAGTAAACAAATGTGCTTACACAATATTTTTGGCAAATAATTTTCGAAATTTATTATTTAAGGATATTTATATCCATCGATATTTTTCATACTACGAACTGTATTTGCATAAGTTTTTCTAAACTTAAGGAAAATAATACTACATAAAAAATAATACATAAAACTAAGGATCGAAGTAGCCATCTCACGGCTACTTATTAGCTTTACAATGCAAGAACGAGAAAGTTAAGACTAATTGAATTAGGAAACAATAATAATTATGGTTTTCAGATGCCAAGGCACGTAAGATGTAATTCTCGAAAACTACCGCCAAAGATGAGGTCAGCAAGATCCCTGGCTCGATAGCTAAATTCCCTTTGCCTAAATTCGGAACACAAACTCAATCCCCTCTCAACGCGTTTTCGTCGTGGGGCTTTCAGTTCCTCTCTGTCCATTAAGCTGGGCGTACGGTTCGAGAGCTGGACCGACAAAGACACGTAATCGCCGGTTCTCGAGCTTGAAATTCGGGAATGTTCGTTTTGGCACGTTTAGGGGCCCGCTGACGTATCTTTGATCATTTTGAAAAATGATTAAGAAAAAAAAGGCCTCGCTGTTACTACACGCGACGCCTTTATTCACTTGACAAGTGTGTGGGAGCTCAGTTGTTCGTGAATGCTTATCACGTCATAACAATAGAATTGTGTCGTAGATTGAAAGAGAAGTGAACTGTGATTACGTGCGCGATCACTGACGGTGCCAAGCGCGCGCTCATTATCGAGCCCTTCGTTCTCTCTCTCTCTCTCTCTCTCTCCTCTCTCCCTCTCGATATCCCTTTTTATTCTATTCTTGGCTTTTTATCGTTGAATTTAACGTACGCGCGGGTAGGCGAGTGCTGCCAAAATGATAGCAATCGAGTTGTTGCTACTGCTGATTATCGTCGGCCTTATTATCACTGAATTTGCGCGCGAAAAGTCGCACCAGAAAAGATACCCACCGGGTGAGTTCAATGATCATTGACATTTTATGGATCTATTTCAGCTAATATTAGTGAATTGGAAATAAATAACGATGAGGTAGAAAATATTATCTGGTGATAATTTTATATTTAATAAAACGAAAATATCTAATAGTTTTTAAGATAAGCTAATTATCTCTTTCAATTACGCATTAGTTTGTAATTATTTTAACTATTTGTTTGATTGAAAATAAATATCGACCATTTTCGATGCGACATTAATCATAATTTTAAATTAAAATTTTTTGTAATTTTTAAAAAATATATTTTGTAGTATAACCGTCAGTTTAATTTGTTTTAAAAGGTTATTTTGCAATTTTAGTTTTCAACATTAACATTTTCTGTATACCATTTCTATGTATTGGCAGCAATTTTCTAGACACTAATAAAAGATATATATATATATATATATATGTATATATGTGTGTGTGTATGCGTGTGTCTATTTATCTTTTAATAACGTAGGATTAGAATTTCATATGTAAGCTGGAATTATTTTACATATTTATTGGAATAACTGTAAACACAGTGTTTCAAAATAATTAAAGTTTATAAAATAATTCATATATTATTATTATATAAAATGTAAATATAATGTCAATTCCTGCTCATAAATGAGCTAATCTATAAATTAAAGGTTCAAATTTCCCTATACTTCGTTATGAAGTTTAAGTCATTAAATAAAATTGAATGCATGATTGCTTCCTTCTAAATACTTTTAAGAAAGAAACTAGAAACGTGACCGTTCTATCCACTTCTCCTATCCTCTAAAAATAGCATTAAGCGTGAAGTGCTATTATGAATGTTTCTGATTTTCGAAATTTTTTTATTCTTTTCTATTCTTAAATTAATATGTCACATATATTCGATTAATGACTTATAAATGACGTAAGTTCTCGGGGGCGTAAATTCAAATTTGTATACCGACCAACTAATTAATGATTACTATTGCTTAAAATGGTTCTTATTAATTTTATCGGAATTCAAAAACTATCCTTAAAAATGTCTTAATATGCACATAATATTATATATCTTGGAAAACCTTGAATTTTAATTCAATAAATATATATCGATAAATACAATCGATACGTTGAAAATATTATTTTGTTTTATGTTTATCTATATTAATTCGTATTATTTCAAGCAAGTAAAAATGATTTAGATATCATTGCGATTACGCACTAAGGCATTATAAGGTGGAGAGTTAAGCCTCTGAACTATAATTCACTTTTAAATTTTAACTAAATATAAATATAAATTATGTATTTTTTTAATGTCAATATTTCAAAATTACAAATTATTTTTTTATTTCAATAATTAAAATTGTATGAAGACGTATTTGTAAATGATAAAAAAAATAAAAGAAAAACCGTTAGTATAAGTATAAATTTTTAGTAGATAAACTAAGCCATATATTTATTTGATATTATCTAAGACGTATTAGATATTCTAATAAAATATGACGTACAGAAATTGTGTTGAGTAATGAAACGATTTGAAATATAGCAATAGACGAAAATTCTTGTATCACTAATATATTATTTTAAAGTAAATTATCAATGTACAATTATTTTTAATATCATGTAAGAGAATATTCTAGTATTGTTGAAGATTTAGAGAGAAATGAATTATTGCACCGATAATGTCATAATAATTCACTAATAATTTTATGTATAAGCAAATGTATAGAATAAAATTAGTTTATATAATTAATTTAAAATCATTTGTCATTATCCTATCATATAATGTAAAAAATTTTTCATAAATTAATATTGATTTTGAATACTATTCTTGAATACTTACTTCATTATATATAATTTGCAGTGGATCATATTTATTTTAGATAATTTATTTTTAAAAATTATTGATAATAATAGTGTTAAAAAATTTGATTAAAATTAATATCAACGTTTAATTAATACGTTTATAATTAATATCAATCCATTTTTAAACGGAACAAATAAAAAGTAAAATCATACGAACTACGAACTAGGCGAATATATATATATATATATATATATATATATATATATATATTACAATAAAACATATTTTCTATATTATAACTTGTATTTTTCAACATAAAAGTAACGTAAACATTAGAATTTTATTTTTAATAATTATAGCGCACAAATACATTTTTCGTAAAAAAGAGACATACTTAAATTTTGTATATTACTAATGTAATATCAAAGTTACTATATTATATACTACATATATATATATATATATATATATATATATAATTATTTATAATAGCATTTATGCAAAAATAATTCATGAAAAATTAAATGCAATGACTAACACTAAAAACTTATGTAACTACATAATGAAAATATATTGTTTTTATAATTATAGGCAAGACATGTTTTTTTTTTCTTTTCATATTTAATAATTACAAAAGTAAATCCTCAAAAAGTGAAGGAGGGACAATTTCAACTGCAATTAAGAGCAATTAACTTGTGCTCAAAACCTCAAAGTTCAAATACAATTGGCCTTTGAAAGTCATGAATGTAACTATTGCAACTTACGAACATACTTGTCGGTTCTTAATTTAATACTCTTTTAAGACATGTTTATTTGTATCTTTCAATTGTCTTCGTCATATTTTTTCATTCTTGTTGGATTTTGAATTTGATTTTCTTTATTTTGTTCTGGTATAATTGAAGAGTCTGAATAAAAAAGCTTTAAATAAAACATAAATATATTTATCTAAAATACGAATTTTAAAATTTTTGTTAATATACAAAATTAGAAGAAAATTAATTTTATATCATTAATAAAAATATAACTTCCTTGGATAAAATTTAATTTCTGCTTTGTCGATGATCGATATATTATTTGCAATTAGAATGCAATAGTATTTTTATTCGAAATTTTTATAATGTAATAATAATAGAAAAACTTTCTTTACATATTAAAATATTATCGGCAAAATTTTTTCATATAATAATTGTTTAAAAAAGAACCATATATTTATATTTACTCACACTCATTTATATAGATTTAGGCCTTGTGGTGTTTTATTTACAAAAACTTCATTAAAAAAATTTTTTTTTTTTTTTTTTTTTTTTTTTTTTAATAAATTTCTTTAATTCGTAACAAAATAATATTCAAATAGAATATTTTACTTTTATGGAGGTAAAATTGCGTTTTATAAATTTTAATCTACATTTGAATAGATAAAATATAATATTAATTTTGTTATTAAAATACAACTGATAGATCTCCTAAGTACAACATTAAAAATTAAATGTTTAGCTATTAGTTCAGTATATATGAAATTCATTATATTTAATTCATTATATTTAAAATTCAATGTATTTTTATAATAATTATTGTATTTATATCTCCTTTTATGTTATCGAAAATATATAGTTAGGATTCAAGACCATAATATTGATTTGGAAAATAATGTTTTTCATCGAACGTAACGTATCTTAGTTATCGAAAATGTTGAATAACAGAATTAATAGAATAGTTTCCCTATGATTTTCAATGAAATAAACTGGAGAAATAGTTGCTATTGTACATACATAAGAAACAAAATGTTAAAATGCAAAGCACATATCAGACTTTAATTTTTATAATGTTAAATGCAGTCTTCGTTACGCGAACTCACAATTGTATTCAATATTTTATAATGAATTATGTCTTAAAAAATATCTTTTGTCAGTTGAATTTTCCTAGTTTACATGTTTAGATTTATATGTAGGATATTTTATTACTTTAAAGATTATTTACCACAATATTAACACGAAATTGTTTTACAACTTGTTGAAATATAATAGAAAATTTTATTATTAATTTAATATTCATTAAATAAAATTCGTTAAAAATAATGCTAACATTAAAACAAAGTAAAACATAATATGGTTTTAAGATTATGTATTGTCTTTTTCAATTTATAACTTATTATAAATAATGAATACGTTAATAAAAATTAACTAATTTCGTTTTTTAACAATATAATAATATATTTTATTATTTCCTGAAAATTTTATTTGACTATTATAGTTCAAATAATTTAATAATGAAACTTATAATTTTAAATTGTTCTTCAATTTATCTATCTATAAATATATTTGTCTACTTAGTCTGAAATATTTAACTATAGCTTTCATTAAATAATATAAAAATTATAACAACGATGATAAAATGAGTATTTATTCTGTTACGAATCATCATTTTTGTTTGTTTGTATTATTTAAAGTTGTTCAATTGTCTATCGTCCGTAGATTACCAATGAGTCATTCAAATATCGATTTTATACATAATTACAAAGAGTTGATACATATATTGAAACTTTTTTTATGTATACCATTTGCATTTAGAAATAATGAAATATTCATATAATCTATTACAACTATCTTACTCTTCTATATTCATTGAATTTTTTTTTACTGCCGAATATATGCAACGAATGATGAATTTCGATTAAATTCTATCCGTTTACATTCTACATTACGCTTTTTTCAGGTTAAAAAGTTATGTAATTATTCACGGCTATTTTTTTTCACTCTATTTTTAATTTTAAATAAGTGTATGCTAATATATATATATTTTTTTTTTTTTTTTTTTTTTTTTTTTTTTTTTTTGATGGAATTAAGATAAAAAGTTTTGCGTACTAGGATGATAAAAGCTGTAGTGTACTAAAAATATTTTTACTCAATTTTTTTAAATGACGTAACTGGTATGTGTAATAAATGTATTTTAAAAATATAATTATGAATATTTATTATATTAATAATAATTTTTTGATCTTTTAAATTTTCAAACAAACATTGCATAAATAATATTTTATAAATTAATTAGCTCGTGTAAATAAATGTTGCTCATTCTAAAACAAAATATTTGAAATTTGTAAATAAAAAGTTTATTTTTATTTAAATTCTATTTATATTACACAAATTATGTCAAATAAAACACGCACACACACACACACACACACACACACACACACACACACACACACACACACACACACACACACACACACACACACACACATATATATATATATATAATGGTTTTACAGATAAATAATTTTCATTCGTAATTTTATCAATTAAAATTTTAAATTTCAATGAATTAAAGTTTTGTATAAAGACAAATTTAAAAAAGTTTATTCGATAAGAGTTAAAACAAATAGTGGAATGTCTATATAGAATTTAAAATATGAGATTAAAATAAATTTAAATTTCTTTTGTATCGTCGATAAATTGATTGATATTCGATAAGATTGAAATATATTTTAAATTCGTAAAATCAATAAATTGAGTATTCAAATACTATTCAATGTACAATTTAATATTTTACGGAATCAAAAGCACAGGAGGAGAATATTTTAGAAATTATTAGTTTAATTTTTGATTTATAGAATCTGAGTAACGAAATGCACTTTACAGAACGATTTTGTATAAATTGAAAATTCTGAACATTCGGTACCGCATTCTTAAAACATTCGTTATAATACATTATTTGCTCGTTTATTTATGTTATAATTTAATATTTTTATTTAAATGTTCAACTATTATAAGATATCAGTTGCACATAATTTTGTAGTATCCCTTGTTCAGACATGTTTCCATACATAATGGCAACTTAACCGCTTCAGGATAAGTTTTATTAAAATTTTTAAAAATATTTATTTTAATAATTAATAGAAAAATTATAGTGCAAAAATTATTTATTATTCCAAGAACTTCGACAATTATTGTTACCATTTATATATAATTATTTAAATAATCATTCTTCTATATAACTATTACTACAAAATAATTGGACTTGATGTTGTAATTGTGTCTAAAAACTACTTAAATACTATTTTTAATCTATTATAAAATATATTCGCTTATATTCAAGAAAGAAAAAATGTTTAATGCACATTTACTCGTATATAAAATATTAATTATATTTAAATCAAATTTCTAAAAAATGAAACACTTAAAGTTAAAAAAACGAAAATAATTTTCTTTTACTATTGAATAATATTGTTTAAATAAGTTTAAAAATGACACATCAATGATTTAAATTGTAGTAATGCTACCTCCCATTAGACAACTTATCAAAACATTAAAAAACTACCACTACCTCTTCTATAAAGTGTGTCAATCTAAAGAAAGACTTTTCTCAAATCACCTACCTTTCACAATTCGTAGCTATCCAGAGGAAATGAAAATCGACTATTTTTCAGGACCATTTCCATGGCCATTCATCGGAAACATGAAAGAGTTACGGGAGTTAAGTAAGAAATTGGGTGGCCAACGCGAGGCGTTATTGGAGTTATCGAGGCGCTATGAAAGCCCAATAATTGCACTGAGACTCGGCAGTAGTAATACAATAGTAGTTTCTGGTAGCGAATGCATTAATGCTGTCTTGAGTGCCGAGGAGTATGACGGTCGGCCATGGAATTATTTTATACAGTTGCGAAATATGGGCAAGAAAAAAGGTAAGATTTTTGGTAAGATTTTTGGTGGTTGATTGTGCCAAGTGTGCCAATATTCATAAGTGATGATAATATTAAAATCTTTCAAAAAAAAAAAACCTATTCGGGCTCACAGTGTTTTTCAATCATCGTAATTACATAGTTAATTCAAGTACATAACAATATCATTTATACAATTTGCAGTGCAAATTAAGATTTCATTTTTTTCAGTTTTTATCTCCCTCAGAAATACGTGCAATTCAATGTCTGTATAAATTTTCATAAAATTAATCGAATCAGAAATATGAAAATATATATATATATATATTCTTAATTTAATGCAATCCAGTGAATAATGGTAAGATTAGCACAAATCGAATTAACATTAAATGTTTATACAAGCTATTCTTTTCCTCAATATTGATATTTATCTAAACTAAATTACAATTCAATGATAAATTCATTATAAAAAGTTGTATATAATATCCTTCAAATGGATAGATATAAATAATATTTGCTCAATTGTATAAGAAGATTATTATTTTTCACTATTGATTTTATATTTTTTATTTTATTGCTTAACATGTATTAATTTTTAATTATCAAGGCTTAACGATGAACGACGGGCAAGACTGGAGAGATATACGAAACTGGTTTGTAAAAAGTATGAAAGCAATTGGATTTGCACGTCGTGAAATGACCGATTCCATCAAAGAAGAGATTCTTATTGTTATTAATGATATCAAAGATGGTGGTGTGCGAACTATGAAACCAATCATCGTTCCTGTCATTATGAATGTTCTTTGGATTTTTGCAGCAGGCAAAAGATTCAACAAGAACAAGTATGTACATGAAAATTGTTCTTTTTCGGGAAAATGTCGATAATAATAAAGCATAACATATCTTTATCTATTGCATAAACGCTTATAGATAATTTATACAAATTTATACGAAAAAAAAAAAATTAATTATTTTCAATATAAATAAAAAAAAATGTAGAATAACATATTATTATAATAATTAGGGTTTATTGAATTTATAAAATCCTTAAACTTAAATGCTTCACTCGCTATCTGATAAAGATACAATACCATTTCATTTATAAAAAATTAATAAAATTTCACTTTGGTTTCACAAGCCAAACTTTACAATGAATTTTTTAATTTTATTTTTAAAATCTTAATAATAACGATGAAATGTTTATTAATGATTGTGATTATATTATCAAGAATATAAGTAAACCGAGTACTTACCAGCTTGAAATACTCAACGCTTTTAATTTATGCTTAGATTACAGTATTTTATCGATCTAATGGAAAGACGAGCACAAGCTTTTGATATGACCGGTGGTGTCCTTTCGGCTTACCCGTGGATTCGTCATATCGCGCCCGAATATTCGGGCTACAATCTTCTTGTTACCATTAATAATGAATTCAAAGCAATTCTTATGGTACGATAATTTCTTTTATTATTACATAAAGACTTGTTATATACGACTTTTATAGGCTACAAAACAGAAGAAACATCAAACACGAAAGTTTCATTTCACTTTCATACGCAGATTACAAGTAATTTTCAATCTTTCATTACAAATACCAGCACTTACGAGAATGTAAAGATATTTCAAAGTAAAATTCCAATCAAAACTTGGATATAGCGTTTTGATATAAAAATGATATGTATACAAGTTCATATTTCCGTTCGGATGTGTAGTCTATTAAAAAAAATTAATTTAATTTTAGTTTATAATATATTACAGACATAGTTCATGAGAGACTGCAGTTTTTTAGTCTTAATTGAAAAAATCTTTATTTATTTATCTTTTAAAGAATTATTTAAATCTGAGATATGGATTTTATTATAAAGTAAAAAAAAAACGCATTTACGTCTGTATAATAAATATAATAAATAATTAACGATTAATGACGTAAGTAAGAAAGTTCTAAATAAATTACAAGTATTTTCTCAGGTATAATCTCAGGCAATTAGAATTTTATTCAAATGGACTTCTACTTTTCCCTCGACACTCATTGCCATGACGAAGAATATCGTAGTTTTCAAGCCAATAAACATTAATAAAAATTCACAATCTTTCATAAATTCATGAATGTAACTAAAATATAGGCATGCAAATAAAAAAAAAAAAAAAAAATTAGATTATTTAAAATTGTTAAGAGGACGACCAATTAGTTTAGTTTAACGAAAATGAATTCCAATAAATATTTTCCGAATAAAAGGAGATATTTATAAATTATATTGTTTAATTTTTTTTATCATTTGGAATATTATTTTTCAAGATTTTAATGAATTTTATTATATTAGGAAACTATTGAAGAACATAAAAAAAACTACGTGCCAGGAAGTGAGGCTGATTTAATAGATATGTTTTTAAACGAAATGTATACGGGAAAGGGCCCGGAAGCTGGTTTTGACGGTATAATACAACAATAATTTTCTACTATTTAAATATATATATATATATATATATATATATATATATAAGTAATAAAGTGAAGCGCTATTTATTAATAGATATAATATTTATATTTCACGAAGTAAGGTTGAAATTAATATAATATGTCTTTTGCCTTTGCAAAAGTAAAAATCAATTTTTTAGTATCATTATAATAAGAATAAATGAATTTTAATTTTCATTGATATAACCCTATATCATTATCTTTGCTGTTTATAAATAACTACAATGTTTACAATTTAAATGTATAATTATACGACTTGTTGAGAATTCAAGTTTGAGTACTCAAGTATTGAATTTTATATTTATTCAATTGTACAATGTTTAAGAAAGTTCTATATATATCTACAATATAAATATTAATTATAAATTAAACTTTGAAATTGAAGTTAAAAATAATAAATCGATACTTTATGTATGTATCTTAAAATTTAATAAGTAAACATAAATAATTTATAAAAAAAAATAAATAAAAATCAATGATAAAATATGCACTTCAAATTAATTTAACATAATTTTACATAATGTATTCTAATATGAATAATCACTTATGTATTGTTTATTTGTTTTAGAGGATCAGCTGGTGATCATACTTGTAGATATTCTTCTAGCAGGACTTAATATTACAGCCACCACATTGGATTTTCTATTTCTTAATATGTTAATTAATCAAGATGCACAGAAATTACTTCATGAAGAAATCGATCGAGTGATAGGGCAAGAAAAGCTTCCGGATTCCAATGATAAATCAAAGTAAATTCTATTGTATATTATTGAACAAAAATCAGTTTGTTAACTAAATATTTTAATTAGATTTAATTTTTTTATTATATATATATATATATATATGAAATTTTTATATTTTTATTATATCTATGAAATTAAGATCGTAAATTATACGTAATATGATAAATCTATACGTATTTACATTTTTAAATTCAAAACATTATTTTATTTTCAATTAAAATATTTTCATATAAGATAATATAAATTTACTTTTTTATTATAATTTTTAATAAATATTATTTTAACTAATACGTTGGTAAAATGGGTTATAAGTTTGAACGCTTCAATCATTCACATAACTTTATACGTCCAATCATAAAATTCATAAAAGTGTTACATCGGTTACTATTCCAAGGTCTACACGTAAAAATTCAGGATACTAGGTATTTATCGTAATATCTCCTAGCAGATTGCTAGTTACACAAGTATGCAGGAGAGTAAAAGCGCAGCTTTCTATAGTTACATATGCATCTACACATCTATATCTAATGCGAACTATCTTCACTAAGTGGACGATAACTTTCTTCGTGAGAAAGATTTTTCTCGTACTTTTTAATGATATAGAAGACGATTATACGTGAATCTTTTTTTTTTTTTTTTTTTTTTTAATTAAACGTTTATCTATTCGATATTTCATACTATAGGGTACATTAAATCGGATAAAAGAACAACAATTCTAGCGCCAATAGTAAATTAAGTATACAAATGTTTCTAATAACAGTGCATTGTTTATATAATATTTAATATAGGATTTCCTATTATTTTTTTTTTTATTAGAACAAATTAATTTTTCATAGCTATAACATTACGCGTCGAATGTTTTTATGCAAAGGCCAATTTGATATTCAAAGGTGGTAAACAAAAGTTATTCAGTTACTGAGAGGTAAGACAAATTGTAATTCGATTATTTTTATGGAAAATATTTTGTTTCAGAATGCCATATACACAGGCAATAATATTTGAAAGTCAAAGGTTAGTACCGGTTGTGCCTATAATTGGACCAAGACGAGTATTACAGGACACAAAACTTCTCGACTACGATATACCAAAGGACAGCTTCGTTCTTATGAATCTGCATTCAATTCATGCAGATCCGAAACTATACCCGGAACCCTACAGTTTTAAACCCGAACGATTCCTCATGGAGGGAGCAATCGTTCGAGATGCCAATCTACTGTTTTTCGGAAAAGGTAAGAGACCCAATCAGGGTGGTATAAAAATTTCGAAGATTTTAAATATTTCATATAGCGAAATATACCCTATCGAGAATACATTTTAAATACTTATAAATTTCACTCTCCTGCTATAAACGAACAGCAAAAAGATTGTAAGCTTTATAATTTTGGTGAATTGAGACACTTTTGAGTTCTAAAACATAATAATTAACAAAGATTTTTGAAAAACTGCTCCAGTATTATTATTGTACGAGTATTTATTTACGAATAGTATAAAGAGTTCAATCCAATACAATTTTATCCACTTTTATATAAAATTATAAAAATTATTATAAACAATCATTGATTTAGAAAAACTGAAAATCTATAAAGCTCATCTAAATATATATTTGAAGTATAAGTAATAAGAAAAATTGCAATAGAAAGCTATTTTAATTTATATAGATTATTTTTAACTATTATTTTTAACAACAATTATAATAATGTTATTTATGAAACAAATTATGTAGTTATTAATGTGTACATTGATTTATTGAATAATTTTTTTATATAATATTTTACTATAATAATTTTAATATTTCATAATATTAGTTTTATAAACATTAAATATTGTCTATAAAACTCGTAAAAAATTATCGCATTATTTGTAAACTGAATTTACACATAATAATTATGCAAATTATTTTGTATAAGTGCTAGAAATATTTATAACGCAATACCTTGGAAATTATGTTTTACAATAATTTTTATATAAAACATTGATCTATTTTTAGAGATTATATATTTTATGAAAACAAGAATTAATTAATAATTGTATAAAATTATAAAAAATAATTTCCACGTTATTAAATTTAAATAATCATACATTAAAAATATATTTAGAGGAATTTTCATAAATGTTTATCGAATATTAATCAATTGAAACAAATTTTGCTCTCATCTTAATAATAATAATAATATGATAAAAATTAAATTAAAAATTTAACAGAGAATTAAAATGACAATGAAAATAAGAAATTAATTAATGCCAAACCCTTTATTTGAGTTATTTTTTAAATCGAAGACATAAATTCTTAATTAAACAAATTATTATATAAATAACAAATTTTAAGATAGAATAAATTTGATTAGAATACGGGTGTAGCAAGGCACTGAATAAAAATCCTGAAATCATTGCAATTTGCTTGTAATTTGTTTTATTTAGGAAAGCGTCAGTGTCCTGGTATTTCTCTAGCAAAGACGGCGCTATTTTTGCTTTTTACTGGAATAATGCAACGTTACAAGCTGCTACCAGTTCCAGATGAGAAACCGCCAAGTATGCAAATTAAAATGGGCTTGACAATGTCACCAAAACCCTACAATGTACTTTTAGTACCTAGAACTCAAACTGTCATACCCAATTGAGGATTTTCGTATTAAAAGATAAGATCGAAATAAAAGTGTACAGCAATGCTGATCTTATAAATAATTAGAATATGTATACAACAACTTGTAAATTAAATTAAATAAAGCTATATAAAAATGTAAGATTATGACTGCCTAGATATGACATAAACTTTTGAGAAAAATAATATAAGTCTATAAATTGCAAATTTATTTTCATTTTTATTTATTGTAAGTAAAATTTCCATATGAAATATTCAGTTGCCAAAATAATTTTATTAAATCTTATATATATATATATATATATATATATATATATGTAATATTGAAGTATTTACATATTATAAATACCATTTTCAATATCAAATTGTAATTTTAAAAATTATTTATAATGCATTTATTAAAGATGGGAAATCATGATCTTTACAGTATTAAATATACAAGTATTAAATACGAAATAAGTTTTAGTCAATAATTTTATACTATCTAAGCTTTAAAATAAATTATGACTATAAAGTTTATCTCCTTTAGTCTTTTATTGATTTTCAATTAGATCTACAGTAAGATATACAACAAAATTTCTCGGTATATAGCTTAACCGATTGATATAATTATTTTTATTAGCTGATCCTTGTTAATATTATTGAAATAAAAATGAAATAAAAAATTTATTTGTTGAACATTATTATTTTTCTATAGGTATTAAGAATTCTTAAAGCTAAAGAATGATCGTTAAGATTTCATACGTTAAAATAATGAATAATGAAATAATATAGTCAGTATTTTAGTTTATTGTATTATATTTATTCAGTGTTACAGTTGTATGTGTTGTCAATTAAAAATATTTACATTGTTTGTTTTATTAAAACGGTTATTATTAAAAATAATTATTTTTAATTTTATAATATTTTTAAACAGTTGTTGCAAATATTCCAACTTCATAAGATTAATATATAAATTATAAAGCCTTATTTTTTAATATATATTTCCATGAATTTCAAGTAATAATATTTTTTTTAATAAAACTATTTTGTTATAAAATGGATCCTAAAATCATTCATAAAATCAATTAAATTACCCGAATGATAAAATCAAATTGTAGTAATGCTGTTTATGAGAAATTATATTTTATATTTCTACATTTTATATTTCTGGTATTAATTAGTGTGCGAACTTTCATAATTGTCAAATGAATGTGTACATGAAAAAACGCGATAGTAAAAAGTAAAAATATTTTAATATTTTTTTAACATTTCAGTATGAAATAAAATAAGGTAATGTAAAGTTGATATGATTAGTCAAGCAATAGTAACAAAAATTATTTACAATATACTTCGAGATAATACTTTTTCATTTCCAATTTTAATGTTTAATTTTGTCTTTTTATACTGAAAAGCAATTTTTGTTCCAAATATTGTTAATTATAGAAAAATTACCATTCTAAATTATATGTATCATTATAAAAAATTAAAGTAAAGTAAATTTAATTAAAGTTAATTAAAACTTAACTTTCGTGCCATTTAAAGAGAAAAATTAAAAAAAATCATATTTATCTCCGTCCTAATTTAATCGCATGAACAGTTCATTTGTAATAACTAACAAATAAAGCAATTAATTACAAGAAGCTAATTTTCAAATTTATGTCAGGCATTATCGTAATATTTCCATAATAGTTTCAAATCTATGAGCCAAGTATTCTGCGTCAATACTTTTCAATATTTGAAATAGCTAATCCATTATTATTTATTTATTTATTGTGTTCTTTTTGTTAGCTTGAGATAAAAAGGCTTGGGCGATACGACAAATCCATCGAAACCGTTGATATCGGGCTTAGCGTATTTTTCATCAATTTCAAAGTCAAAGTGATGCAGAATGTTGGTGAAATAAACAAAAAGTGTCGAGCGCGCTAAATTCTCGCCAAGACATCGTCTTTTACCTAAAATATTTAGAAATGCATTTACGTTGGAAAAAATTCTAATACAACAATACAAATTATTACTTTTACATATTAGTTAAATTTTTTAATGAATATTAAAAAAAAAGAAATTAATTAATATTTTTTAATTAAAAATATATACTTAGTAATAAGTTACTTAAAATTAAGAAAAATGTAAATATTATATTAAATTTTATTATATTGTATGACATAATTAACACACTGTTTACTATAAATATTATTATTTTTTTAGTATTATTACTTTTTTGTGCTTCAATACCATCCATAATATTCATTTAAAAGTAATTTGCCTTTGTATTTTCACTATTTGCAAAGGCATAATGTCAAATAATTTTACATCGCAGTTTCTTCTTATAATTTAATAAAAATACATAATTTATTTACAATAGGTATAAAAAATATGTTGGTTATAGAGAAGAAAATAATTTTGATGTCAATTATTCATGTACAATTATATTATAATTTTTTTTTTTTTTTTTTTTTTTTTTTTTTTTATGAATAAAAATTATAAAATTTAATTGAAAATTATCAAATTATTTTATTAAAAATAACAATCGAATATAAATATAGTTAAAATAATAGTTTAAATAATTCAAATTAATTTTATTACCAAGTCCAAATGGTATAAAAGCATTATTTTGTTGAAATTTTCCTTGATCGTTTAAAAACCTTTGTGGATCAAATTCTTCTGGATTCTTCCAATAAGATTTATCATTATGAGCAGTACGAAAATTTAATAAAATAACGGTATCCTTAACAGAATAAAATATATTATCGTTTTCAGTTTACTATCGAATAATCTAGTATATAATTTCAAAAAAGAAAGTAATACTGTTTAATGCATTACCTCGGGAATTAAATATCCATTTAAAGATATATCTTTCATGGCTCTGTGCGGCAATCCCAACGGCGCTAATTCTAAATATCTTTGTATCTTACAAAAATAATGAATTATTTTTAATAAAAATAATAATAATATTAATAAACCAAATTCACGTTTTTCCAAATTTGAAAATAATTGAAATTATTTAGTAATTTAAACTATATATGACTATTTATTTAGTGATAGGCATAGATATATTTATATAAATTTTTATGGATAATTCAATAATTAAATTAATGCTTTATTTAAATTGCTTAAATATACATAAAGATAGATACAAAAATGAATTGCATTGTAATGACTAAGAGATTAGTATCAAATTTAATAGGAAAATATATTAATATATGTACCTCGGCAATAAAAGCCTCTATGAATGGCAGATTTTTCATATCTGCCAATGTTGGTGATCTATCTCTACCTACGACTTTATTCAATTCATCCTGTAATTCCTTTTGCCATTGTGGATTCAGTGCTATGTAAGCAATTATCCATGCCAACGTGTCGCTCGTTGTCTTCGAACCAGCGAGAAATAGGTCCAAACACAGGACCAATAAATTTTCCCCTTCAAGTATTTTCAAATATATTTTAACTTAAATATCTTGATAGGCATAAGCAAATTTTGTGCATAAAATTTTGAGATTATTATACTGATTATAAGTTATAATTCGACCAAATTACCTTAGTATTCAATTATATGTATTAATATATATATATATATATATATACATAAAAAGTTTGTAAAACCTTTTATTATTATAATCTGTAAAGTATTATTAAAATAAATTTTATTATAATATATATACATATAATATCTGTTATGATGAATATTTATGCACATATATGCACATGCTTTTAATATTAAACATATAATCTTGAGAAAACTACGATTATACAAGCTATATAATTAAAAATTATTATTTCTAATTGATTATTCGGCATCAATTATTTCATAGTTTCATCGATAAGCAATATACATTTATTTTATTTATTGACTATATTTATTTACTAAATAACAGGATATTATATACTTACGGTCGAAATTTATCTCTTCTTTAGTTGCCTCTTCATTAGTCCCTTTTTTAATTTCCATGAGATATCTATCGATCAGGTCGCGTGGATCATCTTGTGGAAGGTTAGCCATATGATTGTCAATTTCATCGTTAAAGAAACTCCAGAGTCGATCAAGCATCGTAACAAGATCGTTGTAACCTAAGAGTTTTGGTATAAAGAAGCGCAGGAATGGAAGGTGCGACATTAATCCACCTAGCATATCATTTACCCTATACAAATTGAATTATAGGCTTATTTTTAGTAATTAAGTACAATATTACACAAGTTATATAGATAAAATAAAAAACAAAAAATTTTAATTTCCATTTTTTGTAATGAATATTTACCTGAAAACCTCGTGAACGATCCATAATAACTCTTTACACTTTTTATCGTTGTACTCAAATCTGTGGCCAGCAAAAGTCGTCCAAAGCATATTTAATACGGCTACGTCGAAAGCTTTCTGCATAGAAACTGGACCAGCTTTACTCTGCTGACTAAGGAACTCGATTAGGCCCTGCGATTCGATGTCAAGTTGTTGGGACATCACTTTGTAACTGAAGCCGAAGGTCTTCAAATGCCGCATTGTAAATCTGCGGTTTTGCATCCAATTAGAGCCATCAGAGAACAAAATACCTGGAGCCAGTTCAGAAGTTTGCATAGATAACGTTTAGCAAATGTTTACCATATGGACCTGCTTTACAAAAGAAATCATTTTTGTTTCTAAAATTTTCCGAAACTTAACCCGATTTTAATTTTATACTATTATTATTAGCATGGATTACCATTACTGAATAAATGTACTTGATGAGTTTTTTCTAATTCATTCCAAATTGAAAATTAAAATATTGTAATAAACAATATGCATTTATTTTAATCGAATATTTTATTAGTATTATAATATAAAATTTTAAATATAT